CTCTTATACATGAGTTGTTGTGGATTTGTTTCTCCAAAGTACCCAGGCTAATACAGTGGTATACTAGTTTCTTGAGTTGCCACAATCTTGAAAGGTTTATAATAACAGAAAATTTATTTTCTCAGAATTCTGGAAACCCCAAAGCACTTGCTCTGAGTCCTCTGGGGGAGAATTGCCAAGACCTCTCCTAGCTTCTGCTCGTCCCAGACCTCCCCACCCGGCGCAGCCTTATTCAGTGTCTGCCTCTCTCTTCACCTCATCCTTCTGTCTTTGTGTCTCTTCTCCCAGAGAAAGACATCAGTCACGTATCTTTCATATAAGGACCCACCCTAACTCAATAAGACCTTATTTTAACTTACTGTATATACTCATGTAGATGAGTTTTTCAGCACATTTTTAATGCAGTTTTGTGGTAAAATTAGGTGCCTTGGCTGATATTCGGGTCGACTTATACTCAAGTATATACATTTACATCCGACAAGACCCAAATAAGGTCACACTCACTACAGAAGTTTTAGATTTCAACATCTCTTTTCAGACACAATTCAACCCATAACAAGTAGGTAATTGCATCTTAATTATGTACATATAAGCAGATGCACAGGAGCTCTGGGTGTGTGGGTGTGTGTAGTGGTTACTCATTGGGCTGCTAACTACAAGGTCTACAGTTCAAAACCACCAGGCACTTCGTGGTAGAAAGACAAGGTTGTCCATGTCCCTAAAGAGTCTCAGAAAGCTACAAGGTCAGTTCTACGCTGTCTTATAGGGTCGCTATGAGCCGGAATCAACTCGATGGGAGTGAGTTAAGGAGATGCACATGGACCCACATTGTTGACTGTTGTCATCACTGGATGTCCAAGAGGTAGCAAAGCGTGGACTAGACCACGCAGAGGCATTTGGGAATGAACGTACAGTTATGCTGGTGAATAAGAGTGTCTTGTTTACAAGAGTGTTGTGTGTGAAAACTGCTAGACACAACCAACATTTTACAGAAGTCATGTGCCCAAACGAGCAAGAACCACAAGTACTTGGAGAAAACCTGCCGGTTATGTACGATTCTAGAAGCTTGTGCAGACGAGATGAAAATACCACATATTTCACAAAGACAAAGGTGGGTGTGGGCATAAGTCAGAGCGCTTGTCTACAGCCTCCCATGGCCCAGCACAAAGTTTGGGAAGGCCACAATCTGAGGCCAGGAAGGGGGCTTTGATAGGAGGCTCTCCTGAGGCTTCTGCCGCCTTCCTTGTGAGAGGGCTTGGCCACCAGTTCACGTAAAACAGTGACCAGGAATGAACCCTTGGTGGGCCCCAAATTCCAATGAGTGGGCATAATCTCTTGAAATTATTGAGTGCTTAAATTGGTAGATCATGACAACTGTTATCCACTATTTGTATCCTGGTCAGTAAGCTCCTTACTTTAGACCCACGGCGAGTTTCTGGAAAGTTCCTCTGGACGCAGAGAAGGGTGGGCATCTCTGTCTAATCAGACTGTCAGTCTGTCCCCTTCCACCCACCAATGTCCACTGAGTGTGTCGGGAGCATGCCCTCGTCTGGGGTTTGGGGTCTGTGATCTGTTCTCTTTGCTCTGCCGAGCAAACCCAGGCCTGGCACCCTGAGGAGGGGCTGTTCAGTTCTTTATCCAGGTGGCAAAGCGACCGAATCCAAGCTGTATGGAGCCAGGGGGTAAGCTGCTGAGAACTGGGAACTGTGTCCTTGATGGAAGCACACCATTCGCAAGGAGGCAGCATCCTGCTCAGCCAGGGGGAACAGCCTCCCGCCCCCCAACCTCCTTCCTTTCGCATGGCGCCACCTTCTCCTATACTCCCAGTGCCTTCTATAAAGAGACAGGCCACCCAGTGACCTCTGAGTCTCAGACAAACAATGATTTCGTTTTCAGTACAGGATGCCGGGAAGAGGCCACGGGCTCTGGGCATCTCCCTGCTTCTGACATGGCTGCCTGTCAGATGCGTTGTCCTCCCAACCCCCTCCACTGCTGAGGGGGAGAAGTACCTGGAAATGGATGAGAGGAGAAAGGACGGAGTCCACCTCTGATTTAAAGATGTGCAAAGGCGTGACCTCACTCACCACTTGCCACGTTGCCTTTTGTTCTTTCCCACGTCCTTTCCCACATCCGGCGGCACACCATACCTATAGGAATTGCATATCGCACACAGCTTGAGCTAGACTCTTGCCAAGAGCCCTCATTTGGTGGAGAATGAGACCAGCACTAGTGTAACTTTTGGACTTGTTGCTACACGACTGTCTTCCCTTCCTGATCTCAGGTCATATTATAAAGTCCTCGGCATGTCACTTTGTCCTCGGGCAGTATCTGGCCAGGTACTTCCTGCTTTACGGTCTTTACACTCCCCACCCCCCTTTGTCATTGCCAGGCACTGCGGCCTCTACCCACGGCTGCCAGTGTCATGGCGCCCCATCCTTGCCACGTGAAAGCTGTGACTGGTTGACAGCGACACCTGATGACCCTTGGGGCCCGGGAGGGTGAAGCCACAACTCTGTTCATGGCCATGTGCTTTCACCTGTAAGAAGAGGGCCTTCTCTAGGTAGGAGCAGACATGAGGAGTGTCTGCTCAAATCCGAGAACCCGAGTTCTCGGAGAACTTCACACCCAATCTCATCGACCAATCCACCAGAGTGAGCCTAGATATCCAGGTTTAACCCAGGATATCTCGTTGGACTGGGTCCAGGACTGACAACGGACTGAAGCTGAACTCATCAGATGTTCTCTTCCGGCCCTACCCTGGTTCCTTGGTTACTCAAAAAACAAAACAAAATTCAACTCATTGTCACTGAGTCGATGCAGATTCATGGAGACCCTTGAGGGCGGGCTCCTATGAGTTTCTAAGACTGACTCGACACAAATAGAAAGCCCAGTCTTTCTCCCTGGGAGCGGCTGCTGGTTTCAAACTGCTGACCTGGCAGGGAGCAGCCCCAGTGGTAACCACGGCACCACCAGGCTCCACCTGTCTCCGCACACAGCCCTGAGATGCTGAAGACGTAGGGTCGCTATGAGTTGAAATGGACTCGATGGCAGTGAGGGGTCTTGGGTTGTTTTTTCAGGACACAGGAGCTGTGGACCAGTTATGAACAGATAAGAGCAAATGTCCTGCCTCTTGCAAGAGAAGAACGAGGAGGAAGCCATTCACGTTTCTGGGAACAGAATGAGATCAGGTGGGGTGGTGAGACCTGAGAAGACTTTCCTGGAGGCCCCAGCAGGGCTGGAGAGAGTGTTTCAGGGACCCGGGACCCTAGATCTAAGGATGGGTTCCTGCAGAGGGAGCTGCAATGGTTCGATCCATAGTCCGGGGAACACAGGCATGAGCCCCAACAGGAAAAGGCACACTATCGGTGGTGTGCGTCCGAGATCAGCGAGGCTGGGAGAGCTCCCGGGGAAAGAGACGGAATTCCCCCATGCCGGGTTAGTTCTGCCTTCTTTTTCAGAGGGTCAGACTTGGGCGTGAGTGAGGGTGGGGAACAGCATGATACCAAGGGTAGGCTTCCCCATAGGAAGTCAGTGGAGGTCTGAGCAGGACTGGACCCGGCGCACCCTGTTCTGTACCACCTGCCCTGTGCCTTCAGATGCTTCAGAGAAGGCGGCCCTGTCCCAAGTCCTTCCACCACCAGAGGAAACACAAGAATGGAGTCTACAGCACTGGAGACCAAAAAGTCAGAGAGGCTTTATTGAAATAGACTTTAATTGGAAGTAAATCAGAGAATTTGGTGTGCCAAACTATTATTATTATTATTTTAAAACTTAGAGCCATCGCCCCATATTAATTGTGGTGTGTATGGTCTGAGTGTGTGTGTCCTCCCTCGTGGGTCTGTGGCGAATCCGTCCATTGATGGGGTTTGTCTTTGTGGTCCTATCATTTGATGGGGTTTGTCTTTGTGGTCCTATCATTGAGGGGGTTTGTCTTTGTGGTCCTGTCATTGATGGGGTTTGTCTTTGTGGTCCTATCATTGATGGAGTTTGTCTTTGTGGTCCTATCATTGATGGCGTTTGTCTTTATGGTCCTATCATTGATGGGGTTTGTCTTTGTGGTCCTATCATTAATGGGGTTTGTCTTTGTGGTCCTATCATTAATGGGGTTTATCTTTGTGGTCCTATCATTGATGGTGTTTGTCTTTTTGGTCCTGTCATTGATGGGGTTTGTCTTTGTGGTCCTAGCGCTCCTCCTTGAAGAATCTTGAGCTGCCTTCTCCCTTTTCCAGTCTCCCAAAGGGAGGGAGCTGGGAAGCGGGTAGGAGAGGAGGGCATGGTCCTGAGGTATCATAGGCCCTCGGGGGGGGGCCCCCATTTGGGGCCAGGCCTCAGCTCTCAGAGTCCAGTGGGTAGGAGTCCCAGGATGTGGAGCAGTTGCAGAAGCGCCAGAGCACGAACGTCACGACCCCCAGTAGCAGGAGGGCGCCCAGAGACCCAAAGAGGATCCCGAAGAAGGCGCCGAGTTTCAAGCTCAGGTGCTCACAGTGCTCGCCCCAGGGCGTGTAGATGGAGAAGGGCACGCAGCTGGGGACAGATGGGGAAGGGGTGCCGTCAGAGGCCTCCAGGCAGGCCCTCAGCTTCCCCACTCCCCCCTGCTTCCTGGGGCACAGAGGCCGGTTCAGGACAGGCTAGCTCACCCCCCAGCTAGGCCAGAATCATTCCCCGAGGGCGTGCTGAAGGGAGGGCAGTGGCCAAAGGAGCTTGAAACCATGGGAGTGAATTCACCTGGAACCAGGTCCCCTTAGTGCTGGAGTAGGGGTGGCCTAACCACAGATAAACGAGTGAAACCTGGAGCCCGCCCCGCCCCGGAATCCAGTCCCGCCTTCAGATCCACCTGCCTGGCCAAATATGGCACTGTACTGGGACCCACAGAAGAAAAATGAAGCTATATGCTCCTGTCAACATTCACCCTGTACTGTTTGCTTTTGAGAGGCAATACCGTTCTCCTACTGAGTGCTCGTGGGCTTAGTCGCTGTTGAAGCACTCACAGATCTTTCCTATTGCTCCACTTTCTCTGACCTCTGTGTTCAACGACAAAGGGAACTGTCCTATTTTTTACGTACCACCAAGTGCCACGATATTCCTGGACCCCTGCCTCATGTTTACCAGCTTAGTTCACCCAGTACTGCCCTTGTGCCTCTTGTCCCTGCCCCACTCACCTGCAGCGGGGCCCTTCGGGCAGGTGTTGGCATAGACCTCCGTGCTTACAATAGTTCTCACGGCATGGGGACACGCAGGTGAAGCCTCGCTGGGGGCTGTAGACCAGGTGGTAGCCCTTGTAGCTATTGCATTGGAAGTGAGCTTCCAGTGTGCTCACGTTCGCTGTAAGGCAGAACACGGATGAAAACCCAAACTGAAATCAACGAGGAAGCATTTGAAAGTGCACAAATACATCTGTCACTGTCATCACGTCGGTTCTGACCCGTGGTGATCCTAGAGGACCGAGTAGTACTGGCCCAGGGTTTTGAACTGCTGACACTGTGGGTAGCAACCCAGCACTTAACCACTGTGCCACCATGGCTCATAAATGCACATACACAGGATTGTCCCGGTCAGTGTGGTTTATGCACGATAGCAACAAAAGAAAGGGGGTGGGGTGGGCTGGATAGCCTTCATGCTGAACTCATGGAGTCTTGGTAGAGGAGTTATGGCAACCAGTAAATACAATGGCATAGAAAATGCAGTGGTTACTTCGAAGCCAGTCAGACATCATTGAAACTCATTTACTACCTAGCTGTGTGACTTGGGGTAATTTTCTTTTCGCCTCTGCTATCCTGTTTTTAATACTGTAATCGCACCACCTTGTCGTGTGAATTCATGAGAGAGTACAGCTAGGACACTCACTTTGCTGCCTGACATGAAGTGAGCATTCAGGAAACCATGCTGCCGCCGCTACGTGCAGTCCTGTTGGCCTGACCCATAGCAACCCAGTGGACAACAGAACAGAGCCCTGCCTTGTCCTGCACTGTCCTCACCAGATTGGTGTGTCCGAGCTCGTTGTCGCAGCCACTGTGTCTGTGTCTATCTATCCCCTTTGAGAGCTTTCCTTCTTTTGGCTGACTCTCTACTTTCCTAAGCAAGATCTTCTTCTTCAGGGACTGGTCCCTTCTGTTGGCATGCCCACCGTAGGAGACAGGCTATCTTGCTATGCGACTAAGGAGCACTCTGGTTGAACTTCTTCCCAGACAGTTGCTCATTCTTATGGCAGCCCGCGGTGTATTCAGTATTCTTTGCCAACACTATAATTCAAGACGTCGCTTTTTCTGTGGTCTGCCTGACCCACAGTGCACCTTTCAGATGCATATGATGGGATTGAAAATACCAGCATGGGTCAGCCGCATCCTAGTCTTCAAAGTCACATCTTTGCTTTCTAACACTTTAAACTTTAAATGGTACAGAGTTTATACCATTAGGCAGTGACTAATGTTCTTTGTTTCTGTTTGTGTTTTATTTAGTAACTTCTAAGAAGGCTCTAGACCAGTGGTTCTCAACCTTCCTAATGTCGAGACCCTTTAATACAGTTCCTCATGTTGTGGTGACCCCCGTATGTGGGCATATCTGCATGGGGGCGGACTTGCCTGGAGACAGACAGTGGAGCAGCGTCTTGGTTCCTAGGACCATGGGAAATATGGTCTTAGGCGACCCCTGTGAAAGGGTCATTCGACTCCCAAAGGGTCGTGACTCACAGGTTGAGAACCCCTGCTTTGGAGGGATCTTTCGCGGCAGATTTGCTCGCTGCAATCATACATCATTTGATTTTTCTCCTATTGCTGCTTCCATGGGCTTGATGGTGAATCCAAGTAAAATGGGATCTTGACTTCTTTTCTCTGTGTATCAGGATCCTGCTCATTGGTCAACTTCTGAGGACGTTTGCTTTCTTTATGGTGAGGTGCGATCCACACGGAAGGCTGTGGTCGATGATTCTCATCAGCAGATCGGTCAAGTCCTTTCATGTCCAGTAAGCAAGATTGTGTCCTTTGCAAGTTTGCTGAGAAGTCCTCCTCCATGTGGTCCAGTTTCTCATTGGCTCCATATACATAGAGTTTGCATAAGTAAGGTGAACATTTGCATAAGTAGAAACTTTGTGGTTTCTATCACCAAGGCCATATTTTCCAACTCTGTATCCTTTCTTGTTTCTGACATTTGCATTCCAGCCACCGGTCAATATCCGTGCATCTTGGTGGCATATCTGATCAATTTCAGCTGCAGATGTTGGTAGAAATCTTCAATTTCTTCACCTTTGGCTTTAGTGCTTGTTGTATAAATTTGAGTAACAGCTATATTTACTGGTCATCCTTGTAGGCCTGTGGATGCTATCCTATCACTGACAGCATTGTACTTCTTGAAATGTTCTTTTTGATGATGACCACGACACTTTCTTCTTGAATTTGTCATTCCTGGCTTAGTAGACCATGTGCTTATCTGGTTCAAAATGGCCAGTCCATTTCAGCTCACTGATGCCTAAAATAAGCAATCTTCATGCATTCTATTTAATGTTTTACAGCTACCAAGTTTTCTAGATTCATGCTTCTATGGTAAACAGTAACTATTATCATAACACTATTCTTCAAACGTGATCATGCACTATATTAAAACAGCAGCATCAAACATCAAGGAGTATATGTGGCTCATAGACTAGACAGCATTGCGAAGAACGGGAAGTCCGGAACACTTTATCCTGCTCATGTGGAACCTGCACACACAGAACAAAGGAATAGCGCGTGGTTTAAAAGCAGCAAACGTGTGTGTCATGGTTCTATCCTTTTACCATCTGTAGTCCATCTGTGTGCTGAACAAACAATCTTAGAAGGCAGATTACATAAGGAAAACTGGGCATCCAGATTAGGGGGAGGCTCATTAATAATCTTGAGATGCCACATGGCACAGCCTTGCTTGCTGAGAAATCAAGGAGGACTTAGCATTTGCTGATGAAAGTCAAAGAATACAATCTTTGGTATGGATTGCAACACACCATAAAGAAAACCAAAATCCTTACAACTGGACTGATAAACCATATCATGAGAAACAGGAAAGATTGAAGTTGTCAAGGATTTCATTTTGTTTTGCTCCAGAATCAATGCTCATGGGAGCAGCAATCGAGAAATGAAGAGATGTATTGCAATGGGTAAATCAGCTATACAAAACGTCTTAAACGTATTGAAGAATAAGGACATCACTCTGGGGACTAAGGTGCACCTCACCTAAGGTATGGTATTTGTGCATGTGAAAGTTGGACAATGAATAAGGAAGACTGTGTAAGAACCGATGCATTTAAATTAGGGTGCTGGTGAAGAATATTGAAAGTCCCGTGGACTGCCAGAAGAACAAACACATGTGTCTTGTAAGAAGGACAGTCAAAGGGCACTTTAGAAGTGAGGATGGTGAGACGTGGGTTCCGGTGCTTTACACATGTTGCCTGGAGAAGGACATCATGCTTGGTAAACTAGAGGGTCCCCCCAAAAGAGAAGGACCCTCAAGGAGATGGACTGGTACAGGGGCTGGAACAATGGGCCCTGAAACAGCAAAGTTGGTGAGGATGGTGCTGGAGCAGGCCATGTTTGTTCTGTTGTGGGAACCACCACGACAACATGTGACCGACTGTGGTTGGCTTTTTTAAAGCACAAGGTAATATACTCACAGTTGTTTAATGAGGAGGTGATCAAACACTCCGTAGGATTTGATCCCTCTGTTATTACAAAGCAATGGATGTGAAAGTTCCTATGCATATAAAAGGAAGTTCAGAGGGAAATGTACAAAATCAAGTTGATTGTGGGGATTGGGATTACATGTGACTTTTTACCCCCTCTCTCCTCTTTTTGCTAATGTGTGTTTCACAACGTGTCTGCAATAAGCATACCGTGCTTGTATAATAAACAGTGTGGGTGTTTTGGTTGGTTTGTTTATTTTCTTTAATAAGAGGCATAGGACTAGGGTGGTTATTTCTTCATTGTAGTACCTCCCTCGTTACTCCACCTCTGCCCTTCCCAAGCCACACACACACACACACACACACACACACACACACACACACACACACGAGTTCTAAAGGAATATACATTGTCGTCCCCAGAAAGGAGAAGGTTTTGGGCTTAATCTGGAGTCTAGAAGCTCTTGTTTAGCCTGGGAACGAAATAAAGGCAGCAGCTTCTCTTGCTCGGTACCCTGCCCTGCTCTGGTCCCTGTGCGTTAGGACCAACTTGAGGGTAATGGGTTTGGGTTTGGTTTGGGGTTTATTGGCAAGCTGGTCAATTTATCTCATTCCCATTTGGAGAGAATCAGGGACTGCGGCAGCTAACACAGGCTCAGATGGGGATGTTGAGATCTGGATTGCAGAACAGACCTGTGGAGGGTCACATCCTCGTAGAGAGACCTGGGTCAGGTGTCTAGTCTTCAACTTAACATCCTCTGCTTGAGGACGCAGCAGGCATGGCCTTGTGCATGTTTTTGAAGTGCATTGGCATTTTAAGAAAACCATGAGCAATTTTGTGACAAGAAAACCGTTAGCAGCGATCAGTGGGGAGGCCTCAGCCAGCACAATCGCTTTGGGTAACGGGCCTCATGTGGGTCCACCAAGGAACATTTTGTGCTCCTGCCCTGGAATCTTAAAAGCTGATGGGTAAGAGGTTTCAAATTTCTCCCAAAGGTTATTGACAACCACTACAAACCTACAATGACCTTCCTACTTCTGTGTAGGCCTCACTAGACGGTCTTCCTGTCCTGGGTTTGTATGAGCTGAAGATATGGTGTGCCATCTGGTTAGGTAAGCCCTGTGAGTACTCACCCTCCTTCAGGCTGCTCACGTCTCCTCTGGACATGGGGTAGAAGGCCACGTTGTTCCTAGGCTCCCCAGTCCTCCGCGGGGTCTGGGACAAGAAGGCCCCCACCACAGCATCCACCAGCCAGTTGTTCAGGAAGTCGATGACAGGGCCCCCAGGCCGGTACTGGAACTCAGAGAGGACTCTCCAGTGGCGAAGGGAACTTCCTGGGGCCGGGTTAGGGGACTTACTGTGCAGGAGGGGGACAGTGAGGGGTTAATGGCAAGGGGGGATATGTGGCAGACCAGGGGCCGGGGCAGAGACCATTGTACTTACAGTGGCTCCACCATGCTGTTCCGGAAAAAGGCCCGCACGTCCAGGTTCCCCAGCCTGTGTGCCACCTAGGTGGGAGAATGGTGAACGGAGATGAGGGGAGTGGCGGGGGTGGGGCATTCCCACCCTCTGAGACTCCCCGCCACTGTTAGGTATTAATTCATTCTGTTGTTTTCTTCTTTGAATGTGAGCCCAGGACTGTCTCCATGATCTCTATCTCCCTACACCCCAGCCTAGCCCAGGGACTGGTGCGGCTTCCTGCTTCATAAATGCAAGGTCAAGTCCTTTCCCCGCACCGCTGCTGCCTCCAGTTACAAGTGAGAATCTGAAGCAAATGGCCCCTGCCCTCCTACCCTATCTCACTGGTCCATGACTCACTGCTTGCTCTTACCATGTTTCTTGAGCAGTCCTGGTGGCACTGCCGAGCAAGGACTAGGCTGCTAACTGCAAGGTCAGTGGTTCAAGCCCACCAGCCAGTTCCCATGAGAAAAACAAGGCTGTCTGCCCCTCTACAGATTTATAGCCTCAGCAACCCGATGTAGGATGGCTACGCAGTGTAATGGACGTTAGGGCAGTAGAGTGGGTTGACATTTAGCCAGATGTAGAGGGTAATCAGGGCACGGGGTGTCAAGATGCCTTAGGAGCGGGCCGCACTCAAAGAGCCCACAATTTGGTGCAAGAGACCAATGTCAACAGACAATGACCTTGTGGAGTGCTAGAGTAGTACAGGCTGGTCTCTTGATTGCTCTTTGCAGATAGTTTGTTTCTTACCAATTGAAGGTTTGTGACAACCCTGTGTTGGACATGTCCATTCTCATGACATCTCAAACCTCTTCGTAAGCCTATTGCACACTTAATAGATTGCGGGGGTGTGGGTGGGTGTGGGTGGGGGTGTGGAGGTGTGGGTGGGGTGTGGGTGGTGGAAACATAACTTGTATCCATCCATCCATCCATCCATCTATCTTTCTAGCTATCTATCTATACACACACATACACCCTGGGAAAGCAGTCACGGCAGGAGTCTTGTTTCGTTGCAGTGGTCTGGAACTGAGTATGTAACATCTCTGAGCTATGCCTATATTTTATATCACTATAAAAGATAATGCTGGTATATGTAGAATAATAATGGCAAATATTCTTATGTTGAACACCTCCTGTGTTCTTGGCACTGTGCTCAGTGCTGTACATACATTATCACTTCTACCTTGACTCAAAAGCAAGTGCTATCATTAGCTCTAGATCGACAGATGAGACATTTAGGGTTGTCTGAGGTCCCGCCTCTACTCAGTGGTAGAGCAGGGAGCCCTGGTGGCACTGTGGGTAATGATCAGCCTGTTATCCTCAAGGTTGGCAGTTCAAACCTGCTAGTTCCTCCCAGGAGAGAGGTCAGGCTGTCTGCTGTCATAAAAAATTATAGTCTTGGAAACTGGAAGAGTCACTAGGATTCATAATTGACGAGGTGGCAGTGGTTTTTGTTATTGGTTTGTTTGTTTTTATCAGTTTTATGTAGGAGTCTAGAGCCTACACCCTCAACAACTGTGCTACATTGCTTGTGACTGATATGCAGACAAGGGCATGGGAGCCTAGGAGAGGGAGCACCCCAGGTCTCTCTTAAGAAGTCAGGGAAGACTTCCTGGGTGGTGTGGCCCCGTATGTCCCTTCCATACAGTCCTAAGAAGTGCAGGTCTTCAGGGACCCTCCAGGGGCAGGACTGAGGTGGCTTGGCCACGGTATGTTGGGCATGCCAACCCCTCTGAGGTCCAGGCCCGAAGACTTCCGGGCTCCTTCCCCCAGCTCCTTCCCCGCCAGCATCTCCTGGGGCCCGAGGGCAGACACATAAGCTCAGATGGACGACAGTTGACAAGACTACATGACACGGGGCCCTGCGCTGGCCGAGACCTGGCCAAGACCGGCCTCCCCGGCAGGGCGGGGCCTGCAGCACTGACCGAGGCATTGACCTCTGCAGCGGAGGCGGACTCCTCTTCGCTCAGCAGGAGCTGGACGACTCTCAAGGGAGGCTCTGGAGAGGAGAGAAGCACATTCACAGTCACTGTACGGCTTCCCCTGGCCGGGCCCCTGCTACAGGAGGGTGCTGGGGGACTCAGCGGAAGTGGCTAGCCTGCCTGCCTCTCTCGTTGTGCACATTCTATTACGACTCTCCTGCAGCAGAGGGCTGCGCCCTTTACACTTTCCTCCGCAAACTGGACAGGCCAGTGGTGGCTACCTTCATGCCCTGTCACCTACAGTTTCCCACGGGCGGTACCGTGAACGTGCTTGGCTGCTACCTGAAAGGTTGAGCTCCCCCAGAGATGCCTCCGAACGAAGACCTGATAATCCGCTTCCCCCCCCAAGCCAGCCATTGAAAGTCTCAGGAGCACTTGCCGGCTCTGACCCACAGGGGGGCAACCTGAGAAGGACCATCTCCACAGCAATGAGTTTAAGAGGAATTTTGCAGTCTCCCCGCTGGGAGTCTGAGGCCCTTCACTGGGGGCCCCTGAGTTTCCCCCAAAGGGAGGCTAATAAAGATGGGGGGCATCTGGTTGTACCTGAGCTGATGATGGGGGTGAAATTGTTCCCAGCCAGGAAGCAACGGGTGTCGATGAAGGCTGGGGGGCACGTGCAGGTGGGCTGGCAGGCGGGGCTCTGGGAGAGGTAGCAGTGGCCATGGTTGTAGCAGTGATTTGCCGGGCAGGGTGGCTTGTTCGGGCAGGAGAAGGAACTTTCCAGAGCTGCAGAGGAGCAAGGGCACACACACACCATGGCAGCAGCAGGCAGTGGAGCCCCTGGCCCACGAGCGCTGCTCCACGCGCCATTCAATCTGCGCTCTGTTCGTGGGCTACGCTGAACCCCCAATCCTCCTTCTATCTTTTCTCCAGGCATGTCTCCGTTTGACATCCCTTTGGCCCTCTGCCCGGTGGGTTTTCTCCCAGTCGGCAGAGAGGAGTGAAGTGATCATCAGCCCCGCCGCACGAGAGAAATCCCCAAAGGCTGGTGGGAGCAGGACTGTGGGCCCTTTTCCTCTCGCGCACATCCACCTCCATCTGCCTGGATAGGCTGTGGTTCAAACCACTTTAGGCGCTGCTCACAAGACACAGCCGGCTCTGGATTTTCTGATCCGACCTCTGGAGGTCCCAAGAGGAGGAAGCGGGGAGGAGGGCTGAGAGGGAAATGGAGGCACCCTGCCCCCCAAGCCCATGGCCCGTCCTGACTCCTGAGAGGAGGAGTCTGAGGGCCCCACTGGCCTCTGGTGCTCAGTGCTGCCGGCCACCCTTCCCTCCTCCTCCTCCTGACCCAGCCCCTGGCCAGGCTCTTGGAAGGAATCTCCCCAATATCAGCGCTGCATGGCGGCTGGCCCTGGCCCCTCACCCAAGCCTGTACAACTTCTTCTCCCTCAGCTCCCTGCCATCGCCACCCCTGCCCAAGCCCTCCCAACACAGAGCCGAGCATTCTAGAGGTGGCTGTCCTGGGGCCTTGAGCTGCCACTGTCCCCAGAACCTCATCCCACCAGGGCCCTGGCCGCAGCTCACCTGCACAGTGAATCCCATTCCCAGTCATGTTCAGGGGGCAGGCACCACAGCCCTGCTTAGCGTTGCAGTCGACGCCCGGGAAGCACTGCTCACACGGGTCCCTGGAGCGATCGCAGTAGAGACCGATGTTGTTCTCACCACACTTGCAGGCGGCCACCTGGAACGGGGAGCTGGTCACTGGAGCACCTCGGTGCTAGAGCCATTAAGAGTTACTGGTCCCAGTAGCAACTCAGGCGCCTCTGGTCCGAGACTCTGTGAGTCCTGAGCCTCTGTCTCAGATCAGCCAGCATCTTCTGAGCACTGTCCTCGCCCAGGCTCCAAAGGGCACACAGCCCTCCACCACTCAGCCTCCTGCGCCAGTCTCTGCCCAGAGGCCCGAGGACTTGGGCCGTCTTCTCTTTCTTTTCTTCTATCTACGCCCACTCAGGCCAGATCATTTTGCCAGAAAGTCCTTTCTAGTATGAGATAGAGTCTACATTCGTGCATACATGCACATATATCTACTACATACCTACATGCCGAACTTACTAGCTCTAGAAAACTGGATCCCACGTTAAGCTGTGGTTTCCTGACTACACCGCCCCCTGCGGACTCTCAACCACGAACCCAGAGCCTCACTGCTCAGCACAGTGAAGAGACAGGCCCTCACCCCAACCACGACCCAGGAAAGTCAGTGGGGAGGGAATCTCCTCCCACTCCCTGACCTCTCTCTTCCGGTTCCCCTACTGAGCTGCTTGGAACTCTCCCCGCAGTGCAGCCCTTTGGGTACTTACCATCCTACTGCCCAAAATATGAATACTTTGGGATCTTTTGAATGATTTCGTGATTTTATTTTCAGTTTTTCCTTTATCTATCTATTTATTTTTCTGTCGTTTTTGCCTTATGGCTGCCTTATCTTTGGCCATTTTCATGCCTCAGGAAAAGTGTGTGTGCACGTGTGCACGTGTGCACCTACATGTGCATGCACAGGTGCCTGAGGAGTGGAAAAGGTGGCAGGGTTTTGCCAGGTAAGCCTTTCCTTTCTGGGGTCCCCATTCCAACTATAAAAGGGAGGTTGGATTCACGGATTGAGGACATGTCTTGTCCAGAAACTTAACTGGAGCGTTTCCTCCAAACTGGAAAATAGATGTCTCTTTTAGCTGGAGGGGAAGAGGAAAGAGGGAGTATAGGAATTTGGGGTCCCAAGACCAGAGGGGACCTGCACCTTCCTTCCTGAAACCGTGATGCTCAGGCCCCCAGGGGAAATGGCTGAATTGTGCTTCCAGGCAGATGGGCTGGAAGCTCCTTAGAGGTTCCTTCAGCCCAGACCCAAGAGACCCACTCCCAGGGCCACTCAGGACAGACAGCTGGTAGACTCACAGCTGTACAGGGATGTGCCTGCCCTGGGCCCCAGTGCTGTGTTCTGGGCTGTGCGACTGAGATCCACTGGGCAACTCTAAGAAAGGCCACAGCAGAAGTTTCTGGCAAGCTTCATTTTAAAAAAATTTAAAAGAGTGTTTTCCAGTCCAGCCTGTTGGGGCATAACACCCTGTCCCCAATGTCCACCCTCATCATTCCCTGGGGAGTGGAGACCCAAAGCCCATTAGTAGGCCACTGAAGATCCCTTTGTAGAGGGGTCTCAGGGAGGAGATGAGCCAGCCAGGGTGCGATGTAACAACGATGAAAAATACAACTTTCCTCTAGTTCCTAAATGTTTCCTCCCCGCTCCCACTACCATGACTCGAATTTGACCTTGCAAGTCTGGCTAGACCAGAGGAGGTACACTGGTACAGATAGGAACTGGAAATACAGGGAATCCAGGGCAATGAGCCCTACAGGACCAGTGGTGTGAGTGGCAAAACAGGGAGGGTAAAGGGAGAATGGGTAGGAAAGAGGGAACCAATTACAAGGAACTATATGTGACCTCCTCCCTGGGGGATGGACAACTGAAAAGTGGGTGAAGGGAGACGTCGGACAGGGCAAGATATAGCAAAATAACAATTTATAAACTATCAAGGGCTCATGAGGGAGTGGGGAGCGGGGAGGGAGGGGAAAAATGAGGACCTAATGTCGGGGGTTTAAGTGGAGAGGAAATGTTTTGAGAATGATGAGGGCAATGAATGTACAAATGTGCTTTACACAATTGATGTGTGTATGGATTGTGATAAGAGTTGTATGAGCCCCTAATAAAATTATTTTTAAAAAAACAAAAAAAACCCCACAAAACAACAACAAAAAATTTAAAAGAGGCTGAGCTATAAACAATAAAGCAAGCTATAGTTCTGACACATGTGAGGTTGTGGCCGAAATAGGTCCCTGTTCTCGTCGCCACTTCCCACAACTCCACTCCATCCTCCACACGCGCCTTCCCCAGGGGAGCTGATGCACACCGTCCCTGCAGTGCCCATGGCTCTCTCCCCAAATGCAACCGTCTAGCACTTAGATGTCTACTTCTAAGGACTTTAAAAAACTGAGGGGAAAATGGAATGACAACATAATGAAATTTTCCTACGAAGCTCTCTCATATTTTGGGAGACCAAGAATAATAGATTTACTTTAATCTGCTTTTTGTTTACCCCTCTGCCCACCTCCTGCCAACACTCACCTGGAGGGAAGAATTGCCCACCCAACTGGTCTGGTTGTATAAACACTGGTCCTCTGCACTGCAGAAGCAGGCCACAACATCGGGGTGGTATTCAGACGACAAGTTGTTCCTGGCATTTCTTGCTAGAATCTTCAGAGTGAATGGTTTCAGTGATGGTGTCCAGAGCAGCGTCCCATTCTCTGTCCCAGGGAAGGTAAGACCATTGAGAGCTTGGAAGACTGTCCACGGCCAGACACATCCTGGAACTGGTTTCAGGGTCTTTAATGCCCCATTTGCTAGGGATGCACCCCGCCCCCCCACTCCTCTTAGACTGCCTCCCACCTCTCATTGGGTGTTTCTTGCGCAAGACTGTCTTCCTGGGACAATACCGGCCATGCTTATAGTTGGAAATCGTACCCGCTCACTCACTGATTGCAGGCAGGGCCTCTACAGAGCAGAGGAAGGTCCCCCAGAAGAGATCCCCAAAAGCAACCCTGCTTGAACCTGCACCAAGGTGTCACATTCTGGGGAGATGGAGAAAAGACAACGGTCCTCCTAAGACTCCCCCTTCATCCTTTCCTGATTGTCCTGGAAGTTTGAAGAGCCGCGTAGACATAAGACTGTAGTGTAAACATGACTTTTCTATGTGTTCACAAGCCAAACCAAACTCACGGCCATCCAGTCAGTCCCAACCCACAGTGAGCCTATGTAGCATTCTTGGGACTACAGATCTTTGTGGGAGCAGGCAACCTCATCTTCTCCCATGGAGTGGCTAGTAGATTTGAACCGCCAGCCTTGCAATGAGCAGCTCAGTGCTTTTAACTCATGACGCGACTAGAGTTCCTTTTAGCCTATAGCACGAGGAACCAACTATTCCACGTGACTCATTTTATTGCAACATTCACTTTAGAGTCGGGATCAGAACTTGAACTATCTCTAAAATATGCCTGGAAAATCCCATGATGTATTAATTCATTTCTCCAACAAACGTTTTGAGCCCCTTTCCCCACCTTCACCCCCAGTGGTCGCCATCGAGTCAGTTGTGACTCAGAGCCCCGGTGCACACAGAAGGAAGCACTGTTGGGCCCGCACCAGCCTCACACCCATCTTATGCCTGAGCCAACGTGGCAGCCCCTGGGTCAGTCCATCTCCCCGAGGGTCTTCCTCGTTTTCTCTGCCCTCCGCTTTACCAAGCATGGTCTCCTCCTTCATAGACTGGCCTTCTTCATAACGTGTCTACAGTATAGGAGACAATGCCTCATCATCTAACCACTAAGGCACAGCCTGGCTGTACTACTTCCAAAAGTATTATATGTGTGTGTATACATACATGTGTGTGCATACCCATATGCATATATATGTAAATACACACAGACAGACAGACACACGTATATTTCAGATAGTAGGTGGAAAATGAAATAAAAAAGTTAAGGGAATTTCTCCAACTCTTTGAAGTCATTTCCTATGTGCATGTTCTTCCAATCAAACTTGTCATATATCTCAAGACAGAAGAAGTGCCTCTTTACAGGCAAAGGCTTGAAAGGAGTGGACAGTAGTGAACATACATGCATAACCTCCAGCTTTCACTCTTCTGAAAAGGAGAGAAAAAAATCGACTGATTTTATTATCTGTCACTGGGGAGACCAACACACGGAGCAAAAGGGATGCAAAAGGGTCCTCTCTCCCGGGTGCAGAGAAAGGTCCAGCGGCAGAACTCAGATGGGAACTCCAGGGCTTTGGATTAGCAGAGAACCGTCCTCAGTGTGACTGGTGCTGCCACAGAAGGGCACTGCAGCCCATGGGCTTTGGCCCTTTGGTCAGATCACAGGTGCAGGCCGGGGCTCTCCCATAGCTTTCCTGAGGGGGAGAGACTCAGCTTGGCTTGGTCCCAGCACCGACAATCACGTGAGGAGGGACAAAGCAAAATAAACAGGGGTAACAAAAACAAAAACAAAACACAAAGAAATGTAAGAAAGCTAGCAAAAGCATTTGTATTTCGTTAAATCTTGGTCCACATGGTATTCTTTAATAGATATGAAAGGGTTTTAAATGAGGGTTTGTTCATTATACTTGACTATTTTGCACAAGGACCCTATTATTATATGGAGATAAAATGCTCTTTGAGATCGCTGTCTATGTCCAGCGTCCACCTAGATACCTGACCAGATCGCCAGAAATCCATTGCTACTATTCACTGGGCACTGTCTTGGTGGTGTCGTAGTTATGCATTGGGCTACTAACCGAAGGTCAGCAGTTCAAAACCACTAGCTACTCCACAGGAGAAAGACAGGCCTTTCTACTCCTGTCAAGGGTCACGTCTCAGAAACCCAGGGGGCAGTTCTTCCACGACTGGAATTGATTCAGTGTCAGTGAGTGATTCTGACCCTAAGGGGACACACCTACTAGAATGATCGGAGTCGTGGCCACGGAATGTTGGCCCTGGGTACGACAGTAATTGCACCCGTTACGTGGATGCAAACTTACCCACAGCTTGACTGGCCGCCCCAGTCAAGGGTCCTTACCAAAGAGCGTGAAACTAGGAGAGTGGTTCCTGAGAGAGAATGTGGTGTTCTCTGAGTCACTGGTGTACTGAAAGTGCTCCGTCCGCTCTTTGTACGCTGTCAGCACACGCTTACCCTCAATCGAGGGCGGGAACTGATCTGAAACACAAAGACAAGGCGTGGGATCTGAGGCAGGTCGTTCTCATCCTTACCAGCTTCTTGTCCTCTGCGTTGTGTGCGGCATTCCCAGGACGGAGTCGCAACTCTGGGAGCAGGGTTAGTTGGGTGCCAACTCAATCTTGAGGTTGAGTTGCCCAATGGCTTGTCTTTTTCTCTGCCTCCTCCTCAAACACGTCATGTTCCTTCTAGAACAGAGCACAGTTCTGTTGGACGGGGCGCAGTGACTCCGAGGCCAGGATCCCTCAGGCCCTCAAAGATGCTTCCTTACCTTCCTTACCCACTACAGCGAGGGCCCAGGGCAGAGAAGGTAAGCCTGCCATTGCCATTGCAT